TTTTTCGGATGTAATCGAACCGTCGGCAGATGAGTGCAAATTTTGAATAATTTATATTTATTTGAAATAATGAAATAAGGTGAAATCAAATAAAAAACTAATTGAATAAAATCAAGAATCAAATCGGTGATTACTTTTTGATTTTTGTTCAGGGCCCTACCCACTTGCAATCGTTTTATACGTTGTCAACGTCGCTCTGAACTTCACGGATCCGTCGATGGTGGCTGATACCTGTATCGCCAGCGATTTTCCACATGAATCGTTTGACCTTTATTATACCTATAACCGAATTGGAAATGTGTTTCTGACAATATTGATCTACATTATTATCGGAATCTTATTCCGAAAGGTATTTTTTCCGGAGCTTGACTGTGCAACAAGAATTTGTTTTTGAAATTGTTACCGGATGTAAATTTCCTCCCGAAGGGGTTTCTATTTACTAGACCGGATCCGGAACTCGTTCAGTTCGAGAACTAAAAATCGAGTACCTAGAACAACTGCTTAAAAATATACTGAAAATACGTATATTGGAGTATTAAAGGAACACAAAAATCTCGTGTAAACAGTAAGGTCGCGTTTGGAAATTCGGGCCCTTTGCCGCGGATGGCCCAGAGCCTCCTTATCCCCCACCCCTCTCCCCTCCTCGTCTCTCCCATGGCCGAGTGGTCTAAAGCGCTTGCCCCAGGCGAGAATCGCGGGTTCGATTTTGCTCCGCTGCGAGCGCCTACCGTGACCCTGTTGTCTATCCCGCGGACGGTTACCGGCCGGTAACCAACCCAACAAGACTTTAGTGTACCTTTAACGACTAAAAATCAAGACCAGAAACGGATTTACTTACTTTTACCTTCAGCAATCCAAACGTATGGTCGGGCTCAGCGAGGCGCAGCGGAAAAGCTTCCGGAGCGTGAATATTACCTCGCGTAAGTGGTGCAGCCGATTTTTGCGGTTTTGAACGTGACATTAATCGGAGCCGTTATTTTAGTGCTCACTACGGCATCGGCTGTCGTTTTTCTCCTCCTCCCCGAGTTGATGAACAAGTTTATGGGGCCGCCACCGGAAATTCGGAGCGTATGGTACTGCGTCATGTTGTCCAAGGTAAGGAAATTCAAATAAAAAAAAAGCTTTTCTCTCTGGTCACAAAATCAGCCACTGCAAAAATATCTGAATTTGCACCGTTTTCCCCGAACTGCCGTAGTCCAAACGTACAAAGATTTTTCCGGATAATCCGGAAAGTCCCCGGGGGAAGGCCGTATTAAATTTTGTTTTCTGGTAGCCGTATCCTTACATTCGCGGTAGTACTTGCTGCAAAAAAGCGTTGCCTGATGCACATAAAATGCGAACAAAATACGCAAGCCGACCCTCGACCATAATCGGATCATTTTCAGAGCTTGGCGAATTTTTCCATTTTTCTCTGGAGGCATCGCGAATTTCGGAAAATGGTGTTCACGATTTTCCGAAGGAATACGACGCGACGGTACCGTAACCTACTGTTCGTTCAAGGCATTTTAGGGTGCCAAGCGAATCGGAGGGTGCGAAAAATACAAAGCCTGTGATCCAAGTGATGAGCAAGATTTCGTGAACTTTTTGATATTATTAACGATAAATATTTATAAACTTTCTGTGTTTCTTCACCTATACCTGCTGATGATATATTATGTATTTTCATAGTGTTTTTAATAGTTTTTTTGATGACAAAAAGTTATAAAAAGCATTTTTCAAACTCTAAAAATTTAAAACCCCCCGCTAACGAACCAGAACCTAAAAAAGTATTCTTTCGTTTTTTGTTGCTTTTCAAGTCTTACGTGTTGATAGAAAATGACTATTCGTGCCTAGCATTGCACAGCAAAACGATCAAAGCCTGGCCAAATCAAACGCGGCTGTTGAATCACAGAGTCGCCGCTTCACCCCTTCTTACGCGTCGAAATCCCGGCAGCTTATCACCCGCCCCTTTTTCCGTTGCTCGTAAAATTCGCCGTTCCCGGGTCGACCCCCCATTCTGCAGTCACTTTCGATTCTTGTTACCTTACCGGCAAGATGGACCCGATTCAAGAATTCATCACGATGGTGGCAAGAAGCCCGGAACTTTCCGCGCTGCAAGCTTCCATCATCACCCAAGCGTTCCGAATTCCGTAAGTTTACCTAATCGAGAAATAGTTATTTTGTGTCCTAAGACAACCGCTCAAATTTCAGCAAAGAAAAACAAGAAAAAACAATTCTACGTTGTCTTAACTACTTTAAACACATTTATCCAATTGCTATTACTGAAGGAGTAACAGGTAAACGAGTCAATATAATTTTTCAAAATTTTGTTTAGCTGGTGCAACCAACTTGAATGCTTCGGGCAGTCCGGTGGTTCCTAAGAAGGTTTGCTTAGCTTATGTTTATCCTTAGTTCCGGCTTAGGCTTAGTTTTGGGGCGAAAATTAGGTTTTGGCCATCGACTCCGGCTTGGACTGCGGCTCAGGATTAAGCTTAAGCTTCGGTCGAGAGCGTTGCTTATGACGAGGTTGGGGCTTGGGCTACGGCTTAGGGTTGACCTTCGGTTTTCATTTAGACTTGGGCTTAGCTTTGGACTCAGTTTTCAGCTTAGGCTCGGGCTTGGTCATAGACTTAAGCTTACAATCAGGCGTACACTTGGCCCTCGGCTTAGGCTCGGGCTTGGGTTTCGGCAGACTTTGACTTAGCTTTAGGCTTGGGCTTGGGCGAGGGCTTTGGTCTAGGCTACGGCTTAAGCCCATTTTCAACAATTTTAGGCAAGCTTCGAGGTGTTCACAATTCTCAGCCACAAAAATTGGCACGGATTGTGCGCCTACATCGTGCTCTACATATTGGAGAACCCGGATTATGAAGGGATTTGGTGAGTATCTTTTGTTTTATTTTTTTCCTAGTAATCGACTCTCTAGTTTAGCTTTTTTGGCAAAAAGCAAATTGAAATTTTGTTTTACTGGCAAAATTTATAAAGTTGCGAATTTAGGTACACACCAAATCTATGCTTTTATTTTGCTAAAGATGGAGCGACCGATAGCGCTCTCGTCAATCGTGTAATTTTTTAATCTTTCGTTTTTACCTAAAAAATTCGCCTAAGTCGCCAAATTTAATTAATATTTTCAGGCGCGCATGGTGTTCAGACAATGGCTCGACGAGAAGCAGCAAGAAAAATCCAAGCGAAAAGCCAGTGCGGAGAAGCAGAAGCTGGCCGACGCGGCGTACTCGCTGAAAAAGCTGGAGGCCCTGAAGCTAGGGGAGCCCCATCTAAAGCCCAGTCCCCCGACCAAGCAAGGAGGCTCTAGCAAACCGGAAATTCCCGTCGTTGTTGCTCAAGAGCAGCCGGAACTTGAAAACGTTTTGTGCTGTTCGATTTGCCGCGAGCCTTGTAAGTTCAAAAGTACAAGCGTGAAACTTTGTGTGTTTTTTTTTAGATGATGACGATCTGAGGCGTCCTCTAATCTTGACTCCATGCGGACACACCTACTGCGCAACTTGTCTGATGGAACAGTAAGGGATATACGCAGGAGACTAGTGAAACTGTCCTTAGCAACTCGGGCGCCGTCTGCTGGGAGTGCAGCCGGAAATTCGAGAATATGACGCCGAACTTTGAGGTGCAACGAGCAGTGTATGCGCTCCAAGAGCTGCATAATGCTAGCCGACCGGTAAGGACGAAGGCTAGCGTTAGGCTTAGCTTAGGCTTAGTTTACGTTTAGCTTGGGCTTAGCTGAGACTTAGCTTAGACTTAGCTGAAGCTTAGCTTAGACTTAGCTAAGGCTTAGTTTACGGTTAGCTTAGGTTTTGCTTAGGCTTAGCTTAAGGCTTAGCCTAGCCTTAGCTTACGCTTAGCTAGGCTTATCTTGGGCTTAGCTTAGTCCTAGCTTAGGCTAGCTTAAGACTAGCTTAGGCTGAACCTGAATTTTTGCTACTCTTGAATCAGAAAACCCGAACTATTACTACTTGACTGAATATTGCTGCAAAATTTAGAATCCCACGGCAAAAGACTCACCGAAGCCGCCTACTCCAACGAGTCCGAAGCAAGTGGCCGTACCTCCAAAACCTGCCGAGGAACCGTACGTTTTGGCGGCTCACAAATCACCCACAAAATTCAGAAAGCCACCATCACCTCCACCGGCTCCAATTGCTCCCAGCACAGAGCCAAAGAAGAAGCAGCCGCTGGACGAGCAACCAGATGTCGCCGCGAATCCAGAATTCGGGGTACTCCACTTTTCCTCAAAAGTGATAAGATTTCAGCAGAATATCGGTTACAAAACCGTGCTCATCAGCGGCATCGAGCGCATCGGTGAGGAGGAAAAACTAGAGAAGTGTCGTGAAATGTTCGAAGAAGCCACCGGGTTGCCGGAAGATCAACTACGGTTAGCAAGCACAAAACCTTCATCGATTCATGGCACTTTAGAATCAAATGCTATGTGGGCAAACGATTTGGAAAGGTGTTCATGTCGATGCCGACGCGAGAAGCTGCCAAACAGGTAGGAAATATTTTTTTCGAATTCATGCGGACTTTAGTTCATCGACAAATACGATGGGGAATGTTTTCCGGGGCATAAAAATATTATGTCGGTGAAGCATGAGACTTTCGACAGCAAGCCAAAGGCCGATGTCGATGGGAATAATGATTTGGAGCAAAAGAAGACGCTTTACATACAGTATTTGCCGAATCGTGTGACGTCGGAGGATGTTTTGAAGGATTTACTGAATGGAGGAGCAGATTTGAACCAACGATTGTGGGTTTTAGAGGGGAGGGAGAGCGAGAGGGGGGGGGGAGAGAGAGGGAGGGCGAGAGGGGGGAGACGGAGGGTCTTTAGAACTAGACAGATCCAGAAGATATACTACTTTTAGCATCACCCTACAACCGGCTCGGGCAGGCCAACTATGCATTGTGTCTTTCAAAACTGAAGAAGCAGCTAAAAAGGTATCCGGGAAATGCTATTGCAAATTTACGACCCGTTTTCGGTCATGGACGCTTTTCATGATCAGCCCTACCCCAACACTAAGATGGTCCTCGACATTACTTACTTCCGAAAGAAGAAAATCGAGAGAACGCAGTCCACTGGTAGGTCCTAATCGGCATGCCTTTGAATTGACTGTACGAACGGAAATATGCAAATCGATAACGGTTTTAGAGCGCCCAACCGGCAATCAGAATCGCCGCCCACCATCGCCGGCCAGAAGCCAGCAATACGGATACGGTAATTATATCTGAACACCGGTTAGAAAAAAGCGCTTCGTGACTGAAAAAAGCATAAGAAATTCAAAAGTGCTCTCTTTCTCTCTCTCTCTCTCTCACTCTTTCTTTTTTCATCGATCATTAGCCCCGGCATATGCTGTTACTTAACCACGATCGCTATTTAGACAAAGATCCAATTAATAGCCACAATAAAATTTTTGTAAAATTTTTTACGCTCCGGCATGCTCTTCCGGGGCATTACACCTAATCGGTTGCTGACTTCTTCAAAAAAATCCCTGCCTTGTGCTAAATAACGTGGAGGAAGTGCGCAGACACACAATCGCTCTTTTTCTCCATAGTAAGGTTGTCATGTAATTTTTACCTTAGGCGGGCCTCGCGGACGTCCGGGCTACGATATGCCAGTCCCGCCTCGGATGCCTTTCAACCCGCAACAGGGGCAGTTTATGCCACCTCCTGGCCCGTATGGCATGCCGTACCATCCGGTCGCCTATCCGTTCATGGGCCCGCCTCCGAATTTTCCAACTTACGGACCACCACCGAATTATGCACCCAATTCTGCGGTGCCTCCGACGCCTCCGACTCCTCCGACACCTCCGACACCTCCTCCGGCAACACCACAACCCAATAAGCCGGCGGTCAAGAAGCCGGATCCTACAAGAGCTGCGGTAATTGTTTATAGGTTAGGCTTAGCTCGGGCTTGGGCTTTGGTTTGGTGAGATGAAATCGCTTTGACCTAGCTTTTGAGCTTGGGTTTAGGTTAGGCGTACACGATTGAAATTTTCGAACGTGAAGTTCAAGCAACATTTTTTCATACCATTGCTATTTAGACCGACAAAAGCGTCGTATGCGTCAGGGGCCTGCCTGCTACAGTAACCATTGATGAACTGATCACCACTTTCTTCAGCCAGGAGCTCAATTTGAAGCAAGAAAACGGACGGTATCGCTTCGGTAACGGCTTTAAACTTTAATCCGCTCTAGTCCGAAGATCTACCTTGTCAAGGATGATTTCGATCAGGAAATTAAGACTATGGTTGCTTACCTAGTCAATGAAGAGCTTGGCATTAGGGTAAGATCGTATCCTTTTTTTGTTATGACCTTTGTTTAGACCCTTGTCAGCTGGAACGCGAAGATGTACCCGGATACGAAAAATAAGTTGGTGATCGAGTACTACGGCGCCAATAATAACCCAAGGCATCCGAGTCTCGCTGTGTTGAAGGCGTCGATGAAGGCAAGAGTGCGTTAAGACCACTTTGGCTAAAAATTTAGAAACTAGCAGCGATTTTTGGGAAAGTGGTTTTCTAATTACATGTGTTTTGATAACATAACGTCATGCATGCCCCCGCAGCCTTAATTTAAAGTTTTCTATCAAAATGTCGTAAATATTATCATTTCGAAATTGAAAGAAAATTAGAACCTCCCCGAAAAAATTAGCCGCTATGAGATTTCGACATTATGGAATGTCGACGTATGGGAATTTCGAAATTAGGAATTTCGAGGAAATGGCTTTCAACATTATGACAGCAACTGCCCATTTAATGAGAGGTTTTCAGGAAACCGACCGAGTCCTCTTCAAAAATCTGCCTCCTTCGGCCGACATGTTCAGCTTAATCTCAATTTTTCACAACTTGCCGGTCGGTGGGACGAAGATTCAATTCGCGAATCCTCCAGGGTAACTCTTACCCTCTGATTTTCCTTCTTACAGGGATAAGGAACGCCCAGTAGATGAGGGGTCAACTATGGTTGGCAACCGGCCAACCGGCCAATTAAAAATTAGCATATATTATATGCTAATTTTTAGAACGAAACCCGTTTTATGCTAATTTTCCTTGGGCCTTCCTGATCCCTTGAACAACCCTATTGGGCAATCCATCATTTCCAGATTTGACTTTACCGTCCAGCCCGATGGTCTAAAATCCTGCAAAGTGAAATTTGCGACGAAGAATATGGCCAGCCTTATCGCTACATACTACAGGACCGCCAAATTCCCAGGAACCGAGCAGACATACGCCACTGAATTGTGCTAATTTGTGATCATGAGGTTGAATAAAACAACGTTGTTGCTAGAGGACATTTACTAAGCGATCAAGAATCTCTGCTAGCCTGCGACGTCGAAAATTCATACGCCACTTTCCAGGGCAGAAATTTTGGACAAATTTGACAAACAAAAGCTCCATTCTCACAACAAGTCTTTTCGAAAAACATTCGCCAGCGCTGACCGAATGTGGCGATAAGGGTATACGTATTTGCCGACTCATCTACCCCCACAAAAACAGTCCGTTATCTCCAGTATACCTGGGGCACTTATTGACAGCTGCGCGGTTCACAGCAGGCGATTCCACATCGAACCGCTTCCGGTGGGAAAAATTTGGTGAGAAGTTTGAAATCGTATTAGTCACGAACAACCCTAAATTTGAATTTTATTTGTATCTATTGACCTTAATAACCTATCCTTCTCGACTGTTTATGTAATACAGGAACCTATATTTCTTAAATAACTTAATTAACAAAATTAACTACAGTACCTTTACTCTTTTGTGGCAAAATATGTTCTTGGATAACGTTTGGAGTCCTATTGTCCTGAATGGATTTGACACCTTAATTCAAGCCTTTTCGTCTTGGTTTTTTGACTTTACGATGTCTTTATAGCAAATATTTTTTTATTGACTACCCAATCTTACAATTAGGAAAATGGGCGTCGGGCAGTCCATACAGCATGATTTCGAACTCACCGACCCAGCTGCTGGCCTCGAAGAGGAGTTCCGATGCTGTAGCCAGTGTTTTCAGCTTTGTAAGTTGGAAAGTATCAGGTTATACGGTAACCGTCTTCCAGTTGACCGCGGCTTGCCCCGGTATTCGATTTCCCGCTGCGTGAGGGGTCATCGGGTCTGCCACAATTGTTATGAATTCTCGCTTAATATGTTTGGGTAATAGTGTACAACAATCACCGAAGTACGTTTTCGATTTTAGGCCAGAATTCTGGGCAACGGAAAAGTGCCTTTCCTGCGAAAAGACGGGGGTTTACCAAGTGGCGGAAGATGCTACGCCCGAACGAACAGAAGATTTGGGCTCCAGCGAGGGAGGCAATCCGGGAGATGGGGTAGTACTCACCTTTTCATAATTAAATATTTCCTTCAGCGGGGATAATATGTAAGTAAACAACTCGGGACTTTTCCCGAGCCTTCATAAAAAACGTGGCTCTTAGCCAGGTCGGAATCCTTATATATAGGCTAGGCTGTTGTAAAACAATATTATATATAGGCTGGGCTAGCCTCACGGATACCTTAATTTAGCAACCACTACCTCCAAAGTAAAACTTCTAGAAATCTACACACCTGACATCCCCTCCACCAATAACGCAACGCCCATCCAGTCACGGAAATGAAGCGACAACTACGGTAGAATCATCATCGTCTTAAAGGGCACGTTCAGGGACGTTTTTGGGCAAGCAAGCAGAGATTTTTGCCGCGGCCGGGGGTCGAACCCGGGCCTCCCGATCGGTAGACGCGGTCGCATACCAGTCAGCCACAGGTGCGACCTGGCGAGGGGACGAGGGGCGCCCCACCCCGGAAAGGAGGGGAATGGCCTCCCACGGCACGGGCAGGTAGCGCGCGCGGTCCCAACGTTCATAGGGTGTACACGTTGGGACGAGTACACGGCCCCTCCCTGAACGTGCGCTTTAAATCTAGCTTCAGCCACCGGAATCGGCAAAAATTGGCCCCATCCGTCCAAAACCCCAACCGTCGAAAAAGAATCGCAAGAAAGTAGGATCTTTCGCAATTTTAATGACCCTTTAGGCCCCGGAACCGGCAAAACCGAGGACAGTCCGGCCGAAAGTGTACGAATTGGGTCATTGCGCAGTTTGCAAAAACCAGCGTAAACTTGCTTCAGTACTTTTTCTGAAAGCTTTCTATAGTAGTCCCAGCCGGTCCGCAAATCACGCTGGATTTTTGCGGGCATTTGATATGCATGGGATGCTTTGACGGGTGGAATTCGGCCCAGACGTGAGTTGTTCACCGGTTGCCGTTCCCAGAGCGGTTATGCTAATCATAATCTCAGCGCTGAGGAATGGGGAAAATTTGCGATCTGCTGCTTTTGCGACGACCCATGGACCAAGCCAGAGGTTTAGTTCTCAAACTTCATTTATTTCACTCAATGCGTCACCGGAGCCAGTTTTAGGACACACCTGAGAACCGCGCCCTGCAGATGAAGCTTTGGGAACAAGGATTTGTGCGGGATTTTAGGATAAATCATTTTTAAAAGATTAGTTGGCAGACCTTCTCCGGCAGCGCAGAGAAATGGCGGCCGAAATTATGGCGTTGCATGAACGACTTAAGGTATTCGGTAAAACCCAAAAACCTTTTCTTAGGCGATAGGGCCGACGCAGCGCGAAGAAGTGCTGGCAGCGGAGGTAAAAGCCTTGAAAATACAACAAATTAATTCAATCTAGTCAGAAGCATTACGCCGAGCCTTGATAACCAAAGAAGCGGCGCACATCCGATTGAAGACGCAATATGGTCTTGAAGCAGGTCTGGAGGTAGGTTTTCCGCTGTTTTCCGTTTGTCCAATCACCAAGAAACTGTTTTACACGGTTCATTTTCTAGGCCCAGAATGGTTACAAATTGTTATTGAAATTACAAAAAGTATTGGTTTGTCGGTGGAAAACTAAACAAATTTTCAAACTTTATCAAATTCCATAAGGTTTTTACTTTGTGCCTTCCGTCCCCAATCAAGCAAAAACCTGTCTTTTTTAGGCGGGTCTCGTGAAAAAAGAGCAAACCCTGAATCTATTGAAAATGGTGAATCAAGAGTTAAACGAGCGGCTTACCGCAAATGAAACCAAGCAGGTTTGCTCATTACCAAGCAAACCTGGAAAAAAATTTTGAGGACGAATTGTTGAAAAAATGGGATGCGGAAAAAGTGGCGATGCATAAGCAGGTAAAAGTGTCTGTTCTTCAACTTAGCGATATCTAGATCGAACGAAACAAACAGCTTGTACAAGCTGCAGCTGAAAGCCAAACTCGGGTATATTGTATTTTGCTAAAACTGCAAAATTCAGGTGGAAGAACTCACGAAGCAACTCACCCAAGAAAAAGCAAATAGCCAAAATGAAGTAAGGAATGATTTTTATCGAGATGAGATATTCAGATCCTGAAACTACAAACGCAAATGCGAAGACGGAAAGAGGCGACCCAGCGGCATGTAAGAAGCTAGTTCTGCGAATATGCTAGAATTCAGAACGAGGAACTAAACAAACATCTGCGACATGCAAGTGAAGAAATCCAAAAATTACTAGCAAAAACCCTGGATTTGCAGGAACAAGTTGTGGTAAGCCTAGTTGCCTTGATCAAAATCCTTTAAGTAGAAGCGCACCAGAATCGTCATCGACAAAATTCCGCCCAGCTACACGCCCGACCAAGTCATTGGCACTTTCCTGGACGGCGGACAGAATTTGATCCATTGGGAAGAATGGTACAAAAAAACGCGGTTTTTTGTGAATACGGTTAAAAGGCCGTTTGCGAGCCACCCGAACAATGCTTGGCACAGTTTTTTTCGACCCAATTTTTATGACGTCATCTGAAAGAGCGTGGTCGAATTAGTAGGGTGGTATGGTTTTGAAAGTTTAAAAAGTTTAATTTTGGGGTTAAAATCGACCTCAAATTTGCCACCTTCGAGAAACTATCTCGAAAACTACTGAACCAAACAGGCTGAAATTTTGGGTCAGTACCTAATTTGGGGTGGGGATCATTTCTCTAATACATTGTGAAGCATGAAAATGGCCGGAACATAGTTAAATGGCGTACTAAATACGGTTTTTCGACATTTTCGACATTTTAGGGTGGTTTGCGAAAGCTGACTATTACACGAAAAGATGCGCCATATCTTTCTGCATCGAATGGTGTATGGCTTGTTGAGCGCGAACCACCCTAAAAATTCGTTTTATTCGCTTTTATGTGTGAAAAAGTGGCTAAAAATCACCACGAAAAACGAAAATTTTTGATTTCGGAAAATCTAAGATATGGGATGGCATCTAGAGACCGAGAGGAATCGATTGCAAAAAAGAGCAAAAAGAAATTCGGCTTCTGAGAGGAGGCTGGGATTGAACTGGCGCCACCTCTGGATTTGCACGCGGCCGCTCTACTGATTGCGCCACAGGGTCCCAGGCGGAGGGTCCGGGTTCGATTCCACGACATCGAAAGAAGCCGAATTTCTTTTTGCTCTTTTTTGCAATCGATTCCTCTCGGTCTCTAGATGCCATCCCATATCTTAGATTTTCCGAAATCAAAAATTTTCGTTTTTCGTGGTGATTTTTAGCCACTTTTTCACACATAAAAGCGAATAAAACGAATTTTTAGGGTGGTTCGCGCTCAACAAGCTATACACCATTCGATGCAGAAAGATATGGCGCATCTTTTCGTGTAATAGTCGGCTTTCGCAAACCACCCTAAAATGTCGAAAATGTCGAAAAACCGTATTTAGTACGCCATTTAACTATGTTCCGGCCATTTTCATGCTTCACAATGTATTAGAGAAATGATCCCCACCCCAAATTAGGTACTGACCCAAAATTTCAGCCTGTTTGGTTCAGTAGTTTTCGAGATAGTTTCTCGAAGGTGGCAACTTTGAGGTCGATTTTAACCCCAAAATTAAACTTTTTAAACTTTCAAAACCATACCACCCTACTAATTCGACCACGCTCTTTCAGATGACGTCATAAAAATTGGGTCGAAAAAAACTGTGCCAAGTCATAATGGGGCCTGTTCGGATGAGTCGCGGACGGCCTTTTAAGCCCGGATATGCTGCTGCGGCTGAGTGGCAACGACAGCCAGTGTTGCATCGCGTACTTGGACCATGTTGAGGCTGCTGAAAAAGTGCGTTTTTGGTAACCTCGTTGTGTTTCCATCTTTTGCAAAGTGTCGCGACGATGCTTTGGTGTCGTAATCGTCAAGACCAGTTCAGAATATTTTGGTTCTAGGCCATTTAGATAACGGAAAAATGGAATGATGTCATTTTGGAGCGCGAAAGGCTCACCGTTAATTTTACGCCGCTAAAAATGAGGGAGTCTGCGTTTCGCTCAGAGGTACCAGGCCAATATTTTTATGAATAAAAGTAGGTACTCCAAGATTTAAAAAAGTAATAAAGATAAAAATAAAAATTAGGGGCTTAAAGCAAGTTTATTCGACCGGCTGCGCGGCCCAGAAAAACCGTGTGCATCGATTGAGAGCGCGGCTGAACTGCGTCGCCTACGCGGTCTGATCCATTCGATAGATCACGGGTGGCGCCAATTCGGTCAAGTGGTACGTTACAGCATGAGGGAATTTCTTAGAATAAGACTTCTTGCTATTGTGAATTGAATTGTGAATCCGTTTAGATCCGTTCGGTACAGAATTTTGCGCTGTCTTCAGAATTAACTTTTCGGTCATTTTCCATGATAACACAGTTTGGCTTGATGGCATTTGTCATAGTCCATCATTCGGGAATTCTGATAGGTCCTTTCCTCCCCCTGTTCTCGCGGTGAGAGGCGGCTCCCCTCCCGCTTCCTTGCCCCTGCCTACTGTAGGATGGTATTATCAACTACTGAGTCCCCTACGGCTCAACCTGCGCCCAAAAGGCAACATCCGGGCTCACCTTCCGATAAACCCAAATCCGGGTTTATGCATTTCGCTGCCCCTAACAACTACCCCGATTCGAAAAATCCGATGTCTACAAATTCGACAAAGCTGATCATTACACCATCATGGATACGCTGCTACAGGTCGTCCACCAGAACCAATTCCTGTATAACCAGGTTGACTTTTTGACTCAACAAGTCACTATCCTCCAGAAGACGATCGTAGAGCTCAAGGAACTTAGCTCTCAAAAAACCACTTCATTCCCTACCTATGCTTCAAAAACGGCTGCCAATATTCCTTCCCTACCCCTCGCAACCCTGAAGCAAGTGCTACGCGATGAGCAAACTGCTGATGTACGTGAAAAACAGGTCTTTATCCGTGGCTTGGCAGAAGGTGATATCCCGGATCTGCAAAAAATTCAAGAAAAAATGCCAGATTCGCCTCATTCCAAAGCCCCTAAAAAGGTTTTTCGGCTAGGCGGCACTCGTCCGCCAGCAGCAACCTCTCCTCGTCCGGTAATTGCCGAATTCGATTCTCAGAAGGAAGCCTTGAACTTCCTCAAAAATTTCAACCAAGCCGTGATTCACACATCCGGAGTGATCGCTCGTCCCAACTATTCAGTGACGGATACACTTCTGTACAAACAGGCCTGGAAAGAGGCCATCCAGAGGAACAATCAAGAGAAGAAGGCGATCTGGACCGTCAGAAACTGCAAGCTTGCCCGTCGCCAATATCCTCAGGGAACCGAACCGTCTCCTTGGACCGTTCGCACGCTCCAAAAGTCGAATTAGACTCGATTACCAAGTCAACTTCTCTTCGCACCCTATTCTTAAATGCCCGCTCTCTATTTCCTAAGCTTTCTACCCTAAATGCCCTTCTATTACTGAACCAATACGATATTGTTCTCATTACGGAAACCTGGCTCAAGGCCCAAATTCTGGACACTTTGCTTGTCCTTCCCGGCTATTCGATATTCAGACGTGATCGTGAAGGGCATGGAGGCGGCCTTGCCATAATCTTCCGCAGCCACCTCAAAATCGTAAATGTGAGTATTTCAACCAATCTCGAAGTTCTATGTCTTGACATATTCTCAAAAAAGTCTAAGCGTGATTTGAGGCTCATCCTTTGCTATCATCCCCAACACCATCAGCCTCTCCTACCCCTTATTGAGCTATTATGCAAACTATTATCAAATTTTATTTCGCCTTTTATTCTTCTAGGCGATTATAACAGTCCTCATATTGACTGGGTCTCCGGGACAACGAAATGTTCAAATTGTCAGAATCTAATTCGATTTGCTGCTAAGTTCGGCCTTTCCCAATTGGTAACTGAGCCAACTCGCTTAAATAACATCCTGGACCTTGTATTTTCTCCTCTTCCTGGGCTCATTGAATCGCTGACCATCGCTGAGCCTTTCAGCGATCACCAGTCAATCGATTTCTATATTTTGCTTAGTCACCAGCGGCCCCCACCCCCCAGGCAAAGAGATTTCCGCCGTGCCCCCTTCGAAGAAATAAATCGGAGAATAGCGGGGATCAACTGGCTCTTTGAGTTCCGCCAGGGAGATGCTGAAAATCTGCAGAACAAATTGGACAATTATCTCCAAAATTTGGTTGAAGAACTGGTACCTTGCCGTAAGACCCGAACCAGACCTTCTGGAAAAACTCTAGTCCTCCTAAAGCGAAAAAAGGCCATTTGGAAAATCGTAGGAAACAGTCCCAGTTACAAAAATGCTTGTAAGGACCTTGACACTGCCCTACGCCAAGAAAATGAACAAAAAGAGCTGGATTTTGTGGATAGGTCATCCGCTGCAGGTCGGATCGGAGCATTGAGGAAATTCTATGGTTACGTTCGGTCAAAGACTTCTCCCGATAATGCAATTCCTCCACTCTTTATTAGTCAGCATGAGATGGCCGTGACTGATGCCGAAAAAGCTGATGCCCTACAGTCACAATTTGCCTCAGTATTCACTACCAGCCCTCCCGTACCTTCCTATTTGCCCATAAGAACCAACAAATTGCTATCGTTTGTCGATTTCAGCCCTCATATTATAGAGCGGACCATTGTCACCTCTCTTAAGCCCAAGTTCACCCAAACTGCTGATGCGGTGCCAGCATTCTTTGTAAAAGAATGTGCTGGTTCCCTATCCCTCCCCCTTTCTCTAATCTACAGCAGAAGCTTCCACACCGGCGTCGTGCCCTCCAGCTGGAAAAAAGCTATAATTTGTCCCATATTTAAGAAAGGGAAGAAATCTGAACCCGTCAACTATCGTCCGATCTCTCTGACGAGCTCCTTCGGCAAAATCATGGAGAAGGTTGTTCGGAAGGCCCTCTCTGAGTTCCTTGACGATGAAAAACTCCTATCGAAGAACCAATTTGGATTCTTGAAAGCTCGCTCGACAACTGCCCAGTTGCTAGTTCATCAGCACAATCTCTTAATAGCTGATCAGAAAGGACTTTGCTCCGATGTTTGCTATATCGACTTTGCGAAGGCATTCGATACCGTCTGCCATTCCCGGCTACTCCGAAAACTTTCCACCTACGGAATTGCGGACCCACTTCTTGGCTGGATACAAAACTGGCTGGTGGGTCGTTCACAAATCGTTCGAGTTGGTGATTCATACTCTATTCCTGCGCCAGTACTGTCTGGTGTTCCACAAGGATCCGTCCTCGGGCCCCTACTTTTTATTCTATACATAAACGACCTAAATGATCCCCAACATCTACCGAATGGCTTACTCTTTGCGGACGATCTAAAGCTAATCTCCCATTTTTCCAACGCTAGCCCATCTGATATGTCTGCTCAGTTGCTTAAACTCGAGTCCTGGGTCTCGGAAAATCAGCTGACTCTCGCTGCCCCAAAGTGCTCTTCTGTTCACTATGGCAGAAGAAATCCGAAGAACACTTATTCGCTAAATGGTAGCCCGCTCCCACAATCAAAATGCATTCGTGATCTGGGTGTCCTGCTATGCGATGACTTCAGCTGCTCGACAAATGTGGTAGAGGTGACGAAAAAAGCAGCTCGCTGCTCCTTTCTTATTTTCAAAATTTTTCGTAGCAAAATTCCAAATTTGTATATAAAGGCATTTCTAGCTTATATCAGGCCTATAATCGAATATGCCTCAGTAGTTTCATCCCCATGGCTCAGAAAAGATCAGATTGCTCTAGAAACAATTCAGAAAGACTTCGCTCGACGTGTATGCTACCGGTGCCAAGTCCCGTACGTCTCCTATCGTTCGGCATGCACTCAATTCGATCTCGAACCATTGAACAATAGGAGGCTGACCGCGGATTTTCTTTTTCTGTTTAATCTCCACAAGATTCCTTCTAATATTTCTGAAAATACTTTCTTTTCTGCCGCCCCTTCTCGAACTCGTGGACTAAAAACCAAAATTAGTCCTATTCTGGCTCCAAAAACCTCTGTGTCAAAAGCTTTCTTCTCCACTCGTGTAGCTGCTCTCTGGAATTCTTTTCCCCAAACTGCCATTGATAGTCCGTCTAAGAAAGCCTTCAAAAATCATCTTTCCCGCCTTATCCCCGTCTCCTATCTACTGTGATCGTGTTCTCATCAATCTAGTCTCCTATTACATTCCCCCTTTTACACATCTTCAGAATCTTATTAATCCTAATTTCCCTTTATTTATCTTTCCCCTCCATCACCCTATTTACGCCCGATTCCTCATACTGTAAGCGTTGACTTTGTTAACCTTGTGTGAGAATAAATAATAAATAAATAGGTGGCTAACGTTGGCTGTTTCAGACGTTTTCTAGCTAGCTCCCTTTCCTTGTTTTTCTATTCCTTCGAGTCAGGACGTGAATTGAATTTTGACAACAGTCTCGAAACCAGCGCAAAATTGTGCACAAAATAAAACTCAAAACCCACTTGACCCGCAATAAACAAACGTTTAGGCGGAAGGCGGGCCGATTATTTGCGTTTGGTGGCTGCCAAATGCGATCCCGGCCCACAGCTCCAGCTCATCTTTGCGGACCTTTTCGACAGCCTTGTGTACAGAGACGGACGGTAGGGCTGATGTTCCCTGAATCACGAAAAGCCACCAGGCTAAGGTTCGAGAAGCTAGACGCCGCGGAAGGCTACATGCTCTTCCTCTTCACCAAAAAAGGGCGTCCGACGCAGGAGCGTGTATGAGCAAGCCGATAACACTTTTATGATTTAGGTGATCTCGTCAATCCGACGAATGAAAATTTGCGGCGTTGCCTTGAAATGCGAAGTTTACGCGCATTCTCGAGAAGCCAAAGATATTGTAAGGGAGAAATTAAGCCAAGAATAAATTATCGATGTTTTGTGTCAGTTTTCGATTTCTAGACTATATCATATCTTTCGCATTCGATGAAGGATGAATAACAACCAGCGATATTTGCTAAATCATACACCAAGCCATACACGAAATGCTTCTTTTTACGCTTAACGTTGACGCAAAACATGAAGACACTCGATCTTCAAAAAGAGGTCTTTGCGGGTCAGTCGGAACGTGTCACACGACTCGCTGATAAAAAGATACGTATTGCCCGACTCTTCGGAACCCGAAAAACAATTTGTTATCGGCAAAATTTCGAGGCGCTCGTATTTTAGCTGCCATTTGCTGACGGTCAGCCCCATATGAAGGCTGCTGGAAATTTATTGCTCGGCCATGGCAGCGCTTTTCCGACGTTTAGAGGCCCTTCAAAATACCGCCGGTTTTAGATGAAGAAGAAGGTTGGTAAGAAGAAGGGCCTCACGCTCGCCACCGAACTTCGTCGTTGCGGACTGTGCCGCCAGTTGCGTGGGATTTACAGATAATTTTTTACAAAAGTTTCTTGTATAGTGACTGCGGGTCGATACTGGAACCCGGGTTGCACCAACGGCCACCACGTTTGCCACGCTTGTTCGGAAGCCTCGCTCGGCGTACATGCAGGCACGGCGGACGGGAAAAGGTGTTGGGTTTGCGCCGATTCGAGTGGAAATAAAAAGGTATAAATTTGCTTTTGGGCCATCATTACGGTAGCACTTTTTCTGTTATGCAACGCATACATCAGCTGGCAAAAAGATATCCGGACGACTGAATTGTTGTTCGAACAAAATACACCAAATTTGAGGAATTATGTGAATGTAATGTTAATAATTATGCTACTACCAATCCGATCGAAAATCAAATGTTGTTGGCCAAATTTTGAATTTTAAAGATTCCAGAAAAATAAGCTTTCACCTGAATCTCCGAACAGGTGATTTTCAGCCCACGTACGCCCGTGGGGTACATCTAGCTAAAAATTCCTCGGAAATGGTTTATTTCCTCAATTTTTAAAACCGAAATTACAACAAGAAAGCCTGATTCTCTGCTTTTCGAAATGCCACTAGTTTTCCAGTGGTGTAATTCCGGTAGTTTGGTGAAAATGCTCCATTTCGAGGTGAAGCGGCGCGCCAAACCTCAACAAACGGAAACGATGCCCATCGTGAGCACGTGGGTGGACCAGTACGATGTTGTTCGAAACCCGAAATTTGAGGCAAGGACATCCGCTAAGTTTTCTACCGCGACTGTCTAGCATACCATCGGCTATAGCACGGTGCTCATCAGCGGTATCGAGCGGGTGCCTGAGGCCATACAGCTTGAGCAATGCCGCGAGATGTTCGCAGAGGCCACCGGTCTGCCGGTCGAGAAGCTACGGTACGGTGTGCGTGCGTGTGTACATTTGCACCAACTTCCGTAAGTATGTCCAGCCGCTACAGGGGAAGGTTTTTTGAAGGCCTCTGGGACGCTGGGGTACTCAGCCGCAGGGGTTGCGGCTTCCTGCAGAGCGCGGACACCGTGGCGGCGTACATAGGAGCGCCGCGTGGGGAAAGGGGGCGCTCGGTCAGGTCATCCATCCCTCTCCGCCGCCCCCTTTCAGTTGGTTAGCGTGGTATAGTGGATAGCAAACTGGGCTGTCATTCTCACGGTGCGGGTTCGACCCCGCCCGGTGCAAACGCCTTCTGCTTTTTCGCGAAAACCATCGTTCTAGAGGCCATTAAAGCATGTTTGATATGTCATTAGGTGCTTAATGGCGCCGAAATGCGTGCACACACATCAACCTTTCAAAAATCACTGCTTTCGCTATCAACATTTAGTTTTTGTAAAGTTATCGAAAAATCTCAGTCATGCAAGGTGAATAGTTTCATAGGTCTTAGACGGGACCAGGGTCGTAAAGCCGCGAAGCGGTTCTTCAACCCTGGTTCAGCTTTAAATGCTATGGTCATCCTCGGTTCGGCAAGGTCCTCTTGGCAATGCCGACACAAGAAGCTGCCGAAAAAGTGGGAACACTGGCTGAAATCGAATTCAGCGTTTAGTTCATCGAAAAATATAATGGCACCGTCTTCCCGAGATATACATTCGAGATGTCCATGGAGCATGAGACTTTTGGGCGTGCGCCAAAAGTTGTTGAGGGAGACAAGGCGAGCCTTCGAATACAGTGTATATCGAGGCGAGCGTCAGCTCACGATGTTTTGAGAGAGCTGCTGGGGGGTGGAGTTGGATGTAAATCAACCATAGTAGGTTTTAGGTCTTAAAAGACATGTTAAATTCGCAGATTTGACTACGGGCTGTTTAGGAGAGAGAGAGAGGGGGGAGACAGAGAAAGAGAGAGAAAGAGAGAGAGAGGGGGGGGGGAGAGAGAGAGTGATAGAGAGAAAAACAGATGGCCTGTGCTTCAAACTGATATAACAAAATTACCTACGACCATATTTTTACCAGAATAATTTTAAGGTGATTGTCTAAGAGTCAGATTTTCGAAATTTCACATTCTCAAAAAACACTTTTTCGAGAATTAGAATTTCGAAAAATTTGCGTTTCAGTTTCATGCCCTTTCGGTCCTTTCCTATCGATAGCTGTGTGCAATTTCTTTTAGAAATCCTGAACTTCGAAGAGGTTATTTTCGTAAATCGAACCATCGAAATTGTGTACGCAATACGCAAAACTCAAACAGTATTGGCTACTTTTAGTATAACGCTGAAGCGAGATCAAACTGGACAAAGCTGCATCATCAACTTCACTAGCGAAGCGGCCGCCAAAAAAGTCGGGAATGCAAATTCGAAAAAAATTTATTTGATATCGGTTGGTTAGGTGAGGCGAACATTTCATGGGCAGCGATATCTGAAAACTGACGACGTCCTCTTCATTACCTACTTCACCAAGGAAGCTGACGAAGTTTTACTTCTTGAGTCTCAGGTATTTTTTTCCGCTCGTTAATGCGCATCAACGCGTCTCTTTTAGGTTACAGAATTGGAAATCTCAGCTGACGCCTGGGCTGAGACCGACGAGTTGGACCCTCCCATCATTCAGCAAATTCTAGCACCGAGCGCCGAGCCCATCATAGAATTAACGGCAGCTCCAGAAGCAGCTGTGCCAGAACCGGTTCCCGCCCTCGACACAACCCTCATAAAAACCGACATTAAAAAACTACAGACCCTCATTCCCTGGCTACAGAAACAAGGGGTATGTTTTCGTCCAACCAATCTGGCAAACTATTATAATTCAAAGAGTCCGATGGCTTAAAAATTCAGGCAAATCTCCGTAGTATGCTGTGCGCATGGCGGCTGCCGAGTCGCGGGGCACCCCTGCAAATTGACGCCTACTGTCCGGCCTTCAGGAAGGTGCTGGAATGTGTGGCTGGGGAATTGATGACGCCGTGCGCTTCTAAAATGAGATACCATCATATTGACACGAAAGAGGGCTTGATCATCTTCGTTTTTGTTCTGGGGAGCGAGCGTCCTGAAAGCGTAAGTTCGTGCCGTTTTGAGAGAGAGACAAGGAGGGAAAGTGAGAGAGAGAGGGAGAGAGAGAGAGAGGGAGAGAGAGAAAGAACGACGAGATGCATGAAACAGGGGAAAGAGACCTCGCAAATTTTAGCTAACAAATAACATCGGCAGAATGAAAGTTGGTGATTGTACGCTCAAGTGCGGCAATTTTTGGACTGGAAACCATTTACCGCCACTTCTTACCGTAAGGTTTTTTCCTTAAATTTGATTTTGGTTTGAAAAGAAATACGTGTATTGAATCAAAAAATGTTGTTGATTGAATCGTTAATTCCAGCGGTTCCGAAATGAATGGATTGAAAAATTGAGGGCGCGCGTCCATGATTTACCATCAAAGGTTTATAAAATGGCAGTGAGTTTCCCGAAATACACAAAAGACTGAAAAATCTCTGTTTAGTTTGAACGCGGTAAAATCATTTGCGTATGGTGGTTTACGGAGGAGTTTGGAGGCCGGCCGCTTGAAGAGATATTTGCCAGTGTACTGAACGGACTTGCATGCAACGATGAAAATAGGTAGGGCCCAATTTTTCAACGAGATTTCGTCCGTGTTAGCTTGGAAAGCGAACGATTAGAGAACGGTAATGATTCGCTACTTTTCCTGCTGCTTGGACAAGACGTCGAGCCGAAGACGGTGGGTGTTTTTTGCGGGTTGAGGGATGAACGTAGATGAAGTCTTGACCCCGGGAAAAAGCTTTGATAATCTGTGGACAAAAAGGAAAATCAATCCGTTTCGTTTAGGTACGGCGCGCGATCCGGAAAATACAAAATGGTGAAGACAGGTTGTGCTGCAAAATCTTTAAAAAACCAGCACTTTTTCCGGCATTTGTTAAGCAATTACTTGAACTCTGATAAACGGTGATCTTAAGCAGATTCTGCAATTTTCATCGAGAATAATGGCACAGAAAACCTGCTCCAACAGATAAAAAAAATCCCGATAGCCAGAAACCAAAAAAAATTCCGGCAATCGAAACCCCGGTAGCTAAAAACCCTAAGCCAAAACCCCGACAGTCAAAACCCTGACACAAAATCTCCACCAAGAGGCTCCCGCCAGCCAAAATCCCGACAATCAGAACCGCGACAACCAAAATACCGACAAACGAAATCCCACGTTGGTGATGGGTGATTGATAAGGAACTCGAGCTATTTGACGACCTTTTCTAACCACACTCGTATCTTTCAGTCATGGTTTGGTATGGGGAAGGAAGACCAAGAGATCCTGGACTCTACGCGGCCGTCATCGAGCCCGACGATTGGCAGTACCCCTTGGGTGTAACGGTCAGCACACAGACCGACGGATCGTCCATCTGAAAGTCGCGCTCCTTCTTTCTATGACCCCTAAAGGACACTACTGGCCTGTATTTGCTGTTTTTTATGGCTTCCCTGTGCGAGATATATTTAGGGTCGCGTTGAATAAATCGTCGGGGAAATGTTTCGAATTTAGCGACATCCGACATGGCTTTCAAATTATTTTGGCTTAGAAATTTGATTTTGTCCAAATTACAGAACGCTTATATTTACCTGAAAAATCTCCCGGTGACTTCCTAAAAACTATGCGAAGAAATACTGATGATGCGGTACCCAAATCGTCCACTCTATCGGTTTCGCAAGAGCTGGGAAAGGAATATTTTTTTGTTCCACGGCTCCAAGCATTCGAAAATCGAAAACGCGGCCAGGCATATTTGTGTAAATTGGGGGTCCGGGAGCGCAAAAGCCCAATTGCCCACTACAATCCGACCAGCGTGGTTGCCGATTATCCGTTTTAGCGCGCTCACCCTATTTTTATTTTTTTGGTAGCCCCGCACAAAGGTTTTCATTTTGGAATTTTAGTGAATTATTGTTTATTGTTTCGACAGTCACTACGCGAGTGACACAGCCTCTCCATTGTCGCTTTTTAGTTTTTTTCTTTTTTCCAGTCTTTAGTTAGAGGCCTCGGAAGAAACGGATAATCCTTTGGATGTCTTTTGACCCGGATAAGCATCATGAGGTTTGTCTGTATATGCATATCGAGGTTTATCTACTCCGTCTCTAGGCTCGGATCAAAAAATTCGAAACTCGGGAAATCCCCAATAACGAAAAAGATCTACCATTTGGCTACTGCTGCTTCTGCAATCTGTTCGATACGGATGTGGAGAACGCGAGTAATTGTGTACGGCTGCCATGTGGTCACCTCTGTTGTGGGAGATGCATTCATTTCAGCTACCCGCTGTGGGTTTTTTTTTGCTCTTGAGCCCCTTCCAACAGGGAAATTTTCGGTGCTTTCTAGTTTTGCGATGTGCCATAGCTCCTTCGGTCGATGATGAAATTCTCAACAAACCTTATCTTGCAAAAATTGCCGAACAACTCGGTTTTGGAGAACATTTGCTCTAAAAGGCCGGACTTGCCGATTTTTAGCACGTGCTTAATGAAATCTAAGCGTTCAGTAACTTTTTCTCAACGGCCGCCATCGTTCAGCAGTTTTCAAAAGCAAGGTTTCGTTCAGAATTTTAAGTTCGGTGGAAGAAGCTATGCCCACCGCGAGCCTATCAAGTTCCTACAACAACCGCTTATTTGAGCTTTAAACTGTGGCAAAAATTCGACGACTTGTTGCGTCTCTTAGGCGCTACCTTTGCGAATTGTGCCTACATTGGGATAAGGTGGATTCGCGCCCTTTGAATGTCAACTTCCGAAATTATGGAATTCTGGCCTTTGAGGAGGATGTCTTCAACGAGGAGGTGAGGCGCTCAGAGATTCGTTAATTTTTGCTTAGGACATGATGACGTGCAGATTATGTTTGAATCGGAGCTGTAAGTGAGCTTTTCGGAAAGATCGAGCGAAAGCGAAAGCGAAAGAGAGAGAGAGAGAGAGAGAGAGAGAGAGAGAGAGAGAGAGAGAGATTCAGTCCATCTCGTGAGGAAAATGGACAAGAAGACGTTCTACTGGCTGCCGGACGGATCGTTGAGCTGCCCAGAGTGTGCCGATAATGACTGGGTTCAGTAAGCTAACATAAAGTAAATCAAACTATTCAGGGACATTGTGGAAACTACACGCTTTATGCCGGCGATGCGAAAACTATTTGGCAAGTTTTAACAAGTGCAGGGTAGCGTTTCCAAGCCCCCTTTCAAAACCTCAGAGTCGTGTCAGATAAGTTGAACATTCATTGTTAACCGTTTCGAGATGAATCCAGCCCAATCCAAGACATTTTATGAGCAGGAAAACCCCGTATCTGATCTAAAAATGAGGGGGTTTTTCAAAAGCTAGGGCTCTGTGCCAAAAAAATTGCAGGTTTTGAAGCAACCGTTCTGGCCCGATTCGATCAAATTTTCCCTTGGAACCCTTCCCTTGTAAAACATTTTACACCAGATTACGTCCACAACCGTTTCGCTGGATTACACCTACTATGGAAGCCTGAACCACGACGCGTGGAGAGTATTCCAACAAGCCCCGAGCCCACCCACCTGGTGAAGTCGGCACGCAAGAGGAAGAACAGGAAGAAGCACAAGAAGCGCAAAACCGCGTTGCCTGCTTCCGAGCCGGAGCAGAAGGAAGCCCCAGTTCAAATGAGCCTTGAAAGCACATGTGAAAACTGCGCGAAGGTCGAAGCCGAAAAGTTACAACTGGTATAGGTTCCTGCTCAGTATTTTTAGAGATTTTAGGCCATCAATTTCGAGCTCAAAAGTACGTCGCTAAAAGAATACAATGTAAGCTCATCTCTTTCACCAAATTATAATTTTTCGAGGAATTTTGCAAGAAGGATTGGGCGGAGAAGTGGGCGTGCTATGAGTCAAAGGTTGGGCCATATTCATGGATATTCCAAAATTCCACTTTTCAGGAAAAAGCCCTAGAGGCTGAGGTCAAAGCATTGAAGGAAACGTCGATGACGCGAGATCAAAATGCTGCGGTTTGAAACGGAGATCAAAATTAATCAGAAACTTGAATACAGAACCAGAAACAAGCGATCGCGCAGCTTCAGCAAGTCATAGCAATGCTACAGTTGAACGACGACGATAAGGTATGCTTATATTTTTCTCTTATTAAATGCTTTTTAGAAGCCGGAACAAGCTGAACTCTCTTAAGAGCCACAACCGCAGCGTCACGAAGCCTAACTTCTATGATTCATTTGTTTTTTTGGCGCTTTAAGCTAATTGTAATTTTTTGTGAGGTTATCGATAAATGTGTAAACTATTCTTGATGTTATCACAAAACAGGCCACATCCGTGGAAAAACAGATTCGCGCACTATGGACAACTTTTTCTCAACATCTGTCATCTGCGCTAAAATCCGGTTCATCGTCTAGGTGGATGATAAGAATCTCGACCTCTATCGTCTACAGACATATTACTTTCTCCGATTCGATTTTTTTGATGCCATTCCAAATCTCAAGCTTTGTCCTATTAAAATACTCCGCCACTTGCCATGCAAAAGATATAATTCCACATACCTTTTGGTACAGGTTCTTCCTGATAGCCTGAATCTGCGAGTCATCGTCAGGATTTAAATAAAGGGGCTACGAATTCGAATGGGGCGGCAGATCGTTGAAGTTGAAAATGTATTTGCCGTGTTTTGTTTTGCTGTGCGCGACCGATATCGAAATCGCCGCCAATAAAATTTCGCAAAAATGCTTTTACTTGAGTCTGATCGCAGATGAAAGGGTTATTTTACAGAGTTTTTAGATGTAAAAACAATAAAAATTACAAAAATTTTCGATGTTTTTGGCGCTTGGTTAAAACGTATGAAAAGCAAACAAAAAATTACGAATTTTCTAATTTGGAAAAACTTGTAGTTTTTTTTAGAACTTTTTCGCGAACAAAAACTGCTAAAAACCCCATGAAAAGACACCAAATCTTTTATCAGCGGGTGGTGGTTTCCGCTCGCTAAAAAATTACGTGTTGTGCCTGCAATAATAAAAAGCACCTGCCGGCTCCCCACAACACGTGTGGACACCATCGATTCTACGAAGCCTCGACGTACCGAAAAAATTACATGGATTACACGCACCCGAAAAATGGACCATTATCCCACATATTTCCTCATCGCAATGGATGCGACGTTGTTGCTTGGGTTATTCTTTAATGGCGTCGGGTTCTACCTAATCATCTGTGTCTCGCCGATGAATATGAAGCACTATAAATACTTTTTGCTGTGGTATCAGGTGGATTTTAGAAATTGGTACCTATTTTCTTGAACATATGAATGTACATGGATGTACGTACATATGAACGTACAGGATTCAGTCGAAAACCCCCTGATCGGCTTGTTGGCAAATTGCCAGAAGCGGAGAGAGCGTGTCCAGGCGAGACGCGACACAAATCCCTTTCCCCGCGTAATCAATTGAATTATGTCGTCTTTATCCCCTTAAAGGGATCAGAAATTTGCTTAAACTTGCATAAATTGGCGGAATAATGCTCTGCTCCCTTTCAATTCGACGCGCTCTGGGCTATCTGCCAATTGCCGATGTGCCTTGATCGACACTGGCCGTCCTGATCCCTTTAAAAAGGACCAAAGAAAGCTCCGACGTGTATGTTTTCCAGCTCTGGTCCGTGGCGGCAGAGCTGTTGCTGCATGGCATCAAGGCTGAAATCCTCTTTCCGGCGCTGCTCGTTCGTTTCTGGGGCCCAATATTTACCATTTTTGGGCCAAGTGCGGCAACTATCTTTGTGAGTTTGGAATTTTGTAGGCGTCTTACCACTCCATTAATCTAATCACACGATTAGTGTGACCTTCGATCACTTTCTGGGGTCACTTCCAGAAATTCAGGGGCTCGGCGGTGTGCTTTTTATGGGTCTTTCCTTATCCGTTTTTCAATGCGTCTTATATCGGCATCGCCAGATCCTCAGGACCGATCATTGGGCCAGGTGGGGGAAGGGGCCAAATAAATCATTTTATGAGACCTTCTCGTAACCCGCGACCCACATTTCAGACTCAAAATCCGGACTTGGCTGCTGATTTGGGCACTCCACTACGTTCTTGTTCCGGGCGGTTTCGCTTTTTCGGTCTCCAGGTTTCATCAGGAATACGGTGGCGGTACCATAATGGAACGGACCATACAAGTACGGCTAATGTCTAGTTTACACCCCCTTCCCCACCCACAGAGATAGTGGGCTTTGCTGAGAGGGAGCAGACGAAAAAGGGCGCCTAACAAAGTGGTTGGGGGGGGGGGCAAAATAAACTCTTACCTGAAAACATTTTCCGGTTTCAGCGATACCCCGATTTCTCATATGCAGCCGTCGCTTCACCAGCCTTTTGGGCACTTGATGCCAGTCCTAAAGTGCCAATCATCCACCTCACTGCCCTGACGGCCTCTTTTGGTCTTATTTTCTGCATGGTGGTCGAAGCGAACACGCTTGTAAGTTTTCAAAGGGGCAACGTCACGTAGCTGCAGACAATCGGTGTGCTCATCCACTGCTTCCACGTCATTCGCACCTCCACGTCGATGAGTCGCCACACAAAAATTCTGCATCGAAAGTTGGTTACAACGCTGGTGTATCAGGTTTCAACTTGACCAGAAGGCTTATATATGCTACCAGGTTTGCTTCCCGGTGCTCACAATCGCATGTCCCTGGATGTATTATATTGCATTAGTGGTGTCCGAATTGTCGTGGGATCCAGGCAACGTATAAACTTATATTAAACAAGGCTATCAATATCATAAATTTCGGGATGGTGCTCAATTCGTGCCATGCGATGCTTGGGTCTATAACATTGGCGGTCAGCAACGAAACATACCGACGATATTTGGGCGCTAAATCTCGAAAGATATTTGGGTCAGTAACCACTCCTTTTTTTTGAAGGATTTAGCCTGAAAGCCAAGCAGATCGCGGTGGCGCCGAACAGCCGATTGACGACGTCGATGCCGACGATCAGCTTCATGCGCTCTGCTCAAAACTAGTTGTAAAATCTATAAAAAATTGCATAAAGAATTGTCACCACGAAATTACACTATACACGAACAGAATTTCATTATTGTTTTCAGTGCAGCTTCTGCGCGGGCAATCATTATACTTGCAATGAGTCTAAATACCCCGGAGAGCAAATAGTTTCGGCCCCGTTCGGAAATTTCCCAATGAACTTATATGATTAAGAAATTAATTATTAATAAACGCTTGGTTACGTCCGAAGATGTCGTAAAATTAAAGCCAAGTTTTGATACTTTCTCCCTTGCAGCAGTCCGGCCAACGTTAAAAAAACAATAACTATTCGTCCCATACCTATACAGGGTGTCCCAAAAAATCCCCACCCCTTAGCTAGCGGGCCGGACTCCTGTCCTTTTTTACGGCATCGGTATCTATCGAAAGCTCTCGGAAAGGCGTGTCCGGCACGTCTTTCTGAATTTTGAAATTCTGGAATTTTTCTTGCCTTTACTAACATTTTTGCGAAAAGGGCCAAAAAAGCGTCTTTCCTTTGCATCAAAAATACCGAAAATCGGGCAAAAACATTCCGAAATTTCAAAATTCGGAAAGACGGGTTGGCCCCGCCTTTCCGAGAGCATACGATGAATCCCGAATCGTAAAAATCAGACAGGTTCCGGCCCGCTAGGTAGGGGTGATTTTTTGGGGCACCCTGCGGACACGCGTTTAAAGTGAACCCGCGCATACCCGCACTAAAATCACCCTTGGACTACCCTAATTGATGGTGTTGTAGGAATGTGGTTTTCGCCGAGTTTGGCGCAATTGTGGCTCACAATCCACTGACCTAATAGGTAGTTGCGAGCGGCAATGACTTGGGTAAGTAGACCGAGTTTTTACCGTCGCCCGGGGAAATAATTAGTTTTGCGCGGCTGGCTCCGCGGATCTCACATTGCACTCGATTCGTCTGTAACCGCAAATCACCGATGGATGAGGAACCTACATATTTTCTCGTGGCCATGGATTGCTCGATGTACATTGGGATTTTCTTTAATGCCCTCGGCTTTTATCTAATTATCTTCGCTTCGCCGGCACCGATGAAGCACTATAAATATTTCTTGTTGTGGTATCAGGTGAATACGGTTGCTTGCAATTTATGTCAAGTTATCTTCTACGAATATTTGATTTATTCCAAATATGTTTGCTCGGTTTCCGTTTTTTAGGCAAAAGCTAAACGCGTTTTGTGAAAAACTCAGTTTGATCGTTAGAAGTGCCACCCAGCTGTTTTTTGCTCCAATTGCGTTCAAAAAGCTGTCGCGGGGGTCAAAAGTGTTTAGCAGCGACTGCCACTATTAAAGGGATACCCAAGGTTTTAGCGGCAAATATATAGTTATTTATTCCGGCAAGTACAAATGACGCGCGAATTTTGTGCGCCAATGGGCGCCCATTGCCGCACAGAATTCGGACACTTTTGCCTCTTGTGGCGTCCCTCTCCCTCCATGGGGTTGCCACTATGGCCTAATGGATAGCGTCCAGGCCTACAAAAAGGTGGTCTCGGGTTCGACCCCCGCCCGCGGAATGATTTTTGCTTTTTGAACCCCGAAAAGGTTGGGCATCCCTTTAACTGACAATTTTGGCCCTTTTCAGTGCTGGTCGGTGGGCGTCGACCTTCATCTGCACTTGCTCAAGCCAGAATTGCTCTTTCCGTCACTAATCGCCAGGTTTTGGGGTCCATGGTACACAATTATTGGCATTACCCCCATCCTTGCCTTTGTCAGTTCGCTTCGCACACTTTAGTATCGTCAGATCATCGAATAACGATCACCGTCCTCTAGGCCATCACCGGTGCGCTGTTTATGAACCTCGCGCTGGCAATTTTTCAATGTGTCCTATACCGGCACCGGCAGATACTTGGCGCGGAACATCCGGCAAGGTGCGAGAAAATTCTTGTTTTTTGTAAGGTTTCCCAAAAAAACTTCCTCTCCCTTGCGGTTTGCAAGTTTTACGGACGGCTAGGGAGGGGATTTCTGCGGGAAATTTTGTAGTTTTGGGCTTATCCAGGCATTTCACGGCCACTTTATCGAAAAGTCATTCTGCCGAAAAGTCTTTTACCGAAAAGTCATACTACCAAAAGTCGTTTTAACGAAAATTCTCCCGAAAATCACAATTTCGGTCCCCTACCTGGAATGCCTGAATCGTTTATTCGGAAAAATCCTGTTGGAGATTCA